CTTGAAGCATATGTTTTGTGTATAACAAAAATAGTTAGTTGATTTATCCTTTTATACTGTTTCATAAGAATCTATTATCTTGCAAAAATGAAAACAACAGACAAAACTGAAGGATTCATCATATTTGGCATTAGAATTCCATCACCTAGATTTTAAGGATTTCTGCCCAACCAGTATCTGTAAACACTAGGAAGGTCTATATTTTCCTTTGGAGTTTCTTCTAGGCTCTTTATAGAAAACTTTTCTTCCAAAATTCTTATAAGAACGATTACATCGTGTTGAGATCATAGAATTTAGTGCCTGACATCTTACAAGGTATTTTTAAATTGATTTCTTTGATATCTGATATCTTTCCAACACTTAATTGGAAATTGAAATTACTGACCAACTGACTCTATTTTATAAGTACCTTTATATTTTTCCATCACATAAAAACAAACTACTTTTCTTAGACCTAACTGAGATAATCTATGAGAATCACAATTTATCAAATGAGAAAATTCCACAGTACTTCTCTCAGTTCTTCTAAACACAGCAGCTCGGGCACATTCTGGCCAAGTTGAGTTTGCTCCCTGAATTAAGCAAGCTACTGAATGCCACATGATTTTACACTTCTAAAGCCAAAGCACCAGAATGGAAATGGCCAAAAGGGAACTCTAACCACAAAGTAACCTATCTTCATCACCTCTCTTCAGTTTCAAGAAAAAATCAGAGCCAAGCAAAGTCCAAATTCAATATTATCTCACTTGGTGCAAGATTGCTAAGGCCAGCTTATAATATGCTGGGGTAAAAAAATGAATGGCAGAAAGAGAATTGGATTAATCAGAAGACTAGGATTTGGGATCTGGCTTTAGCACTTACTTCCTATAAATCTTGACAAATCATGTAACTGTCTGAGTTCTTCACTTATGAAATGAGGAGAACCAGGTGACCCAGAGTTGTTGTGAGATTCAAATTATATGATGTGGGTAAAGAGTAATATGTAAACCATAGAGTAAATAACAAGCTTTTTGAGGTGTTTTACTCTAGATGTCTTCCTAAAGAGCAGCCCATGCCAGTGCCCTGTGCTTGCTGAAAAGCCTGATTACTGCTCGTGACTTTGGAAATCACAGGATCTAAACAAATTAGTCAGCAACCGGCCAGCACTTTGTCAGCATATGGTCACAGGCAGTTACTAATCTAAGCAAGGAGATTCATGTCCAGCCCAGCACAGTACACCGAAGCTGCAAGGCCACCCCAAGGCTAACTATATGTGCCCACCTCTCCTGACTCTGACCACAGCTTCATCTCTTCCTCTGGGTTCACACCTTAGGAAACACCTCCCATTGAAATCAGCCTGGCCCCTGAGCCTCTAGAAACCCACACATCATACCACACCCTTAGACTATTCCTACCTGTGGGCAAGACCTGACAAATAATCCTTCAAATATTTCTAGCCAGTCCCTAGTCATGGACTGTAGCCATTCTAAACGACATCTAAAGGATTTGAGGATTTTTCCTTTGTGTGTTTAATTTTAATGGCCTCTGAGCATTTCCAAATCTAATTATTAGAAATTTGGAAAGAGAAAACAACAATTGTACATGGGGCTTTGGAAGTCTGGCTGGTTTAGCAAAGGCTGCAAGCTACAGTTTGATTGTAAACATCTCTCTCTGTGCTGTAACCTCACAGTCAACATCTCCCAACTCACACTCATATCCAGGTAAAGGAAGCAATTTTGGCAGAAAGCAAACATTGGATTCCACGTGCCTTTGGGAAGGCATGGATCTCCATGATGAGAAAAGTTAGTTCTAGTCAAAACTAAGCACGTTATTAAAGTGAATATCCTGGAATAAAAGGCGGAGGCACCCTCCAGAGTTCTCTACGGCGCCAACTCATACGATCTAATGCAGCCCAACATTTAGTAAGAATCCTATCTTCTAAAGGGTTAAGAGAAACATTGGCTTAAGGTCTTAGACCAACCAAAGCACAAACTCAGAAGAAACAAGGCAAAGATACAAAAGGATCTTGATCCCTAAAGTTAAAGCTAAGTGTGCCAAGAGAATTCGGCTGGAAATCTGACTGAAGTTAGATGGCTGGATTCAGAAAGTAACTCAAGTGACATTAATCTAGGAGATTCTAGAACCCCACAGACTAATTTATGTTCATATTTTTGTTTTGTTTTGTTTTGTTTTTTAACTTACTTATTCCAATAGCAAAAGAGAAAGAAATCCTTTGAGGGTGATAGAATTACAAAATGGATTCATTCATTCAACATAGATTTACTGAGTACAAACAAAACATAAGTAAATTATTGAAAGCATTGCAGGCATGCCAGTAGGGAAGTTATTTTAGATGAAGGGGTAAGATTAAGCATGCATCATTTTTATAAAAACAATCAAATCCTTATTCTTTGGGGGGAAATTTTTAAATACATATACATAAATAGAAAGGCACATACTCTGATTAGGAAATTATCTTTTTGGCACAAAAACAGACACATAGACCAATGGAATAGAATAGAAACCCCAGAACTAGACCCACAAACGTATGGCCAACTCATCTTTGACAAAGCAGGAAAGAACATCCAATGGAAAAAGGACAGTCTCTTTAACAAATGGTGCTGGGAGAACTGGACAGCAACATGCAGAAGGTTGAAACTAGACCACTTTCTCACACCATTCACAAAAATAAACTCCAAATGGATAAAGGACCTGAATGTGAGACAGGAAACCATCAAAACCTTAGAGGAGAAAGCAGGAAAAGACCTCTCTGACCTCAGCCGTAGCAATCTCTTCCTCGACACATCCCCAAAGGCAAGGGAATTAAAAGCAAAAGTGAATTACTGGGACCTTATGAAGATAAAAAGCTTCTGCACAGCAAAGGAAACAACCAACAAAACGAAAAGGCAACCAACGGAATGGGAAAAGATATTTGCAAATGACATATCGGACAAAGGGCTAGTATCCAAAATCTATAAAGAGCTCACCAAACTCCACACCCGAAAAACAAATAACCCAGTGAAGAAATGGGCAGAAAACATGAATAGACACTTCTCTAAAGAAGACATCCGGATGGCCAACAGGCACATGAAAAGATGTTCAGCGTCGCTCCTTATCAGGGAAATACAAATCAAAACCACACTCAGGTATCACCTCACGCCAGTCAGAGTGGCCAAAATGAACAAATCAGGAGACTATAGATGCTGGAGAGGATGTGGAGAAACGGGAACCCTCTTGCACTGTTGGTGGGAATGCAAATTGGTGCAGCCGCTCTGGAAAGCAGTGTGGAGGTTCCTCAGAAAATTAAAAATAGACCTACCCTATGACCCAGCAATAGCACTGCTAGGAATTTATCCAAGGGACACAGGAGTACTGATGCATAGGGGCACTTGTACCCCAGTGTTCATAGCAGCACTCTCAACAATAGCCAAATTATGGAAAGAGCCTAAATGTCCATCAACTGATGAATGGATAAAGAAATTGTGGTTTATATACACTATGGAATACTACGTGGCAATGAGAAAAAATGAAATCTGGCCTTTTGTAGCAACGTGGATGGAACTGGAGAGTGTGATGCTAAGTGAAATAAGCCATACAGAGAAAGACAGATACCATATGGTTTCACTCTTATGTGGATCCTGAGAAACTTAACAGGAACCCATGGGGGAGGGGAAGGAAAAAAAAAAAAAAAAG